ACATCAATTAAAGTCATAACCGATGTAGAAAGTTCATTGGTTTTAAAATCCAACTAATGCAGAAAGTGACTTGTTATTTTTTTTAATGTATTTTTTATATCAGTTGTATCACTTCTTGAAACAGCATTACCTCTTGAACTGATGTACAATGTGATTTTAACTGTTATAAAAAGCTTTTCTGTACTAATGTAATTAAGTATGAAATTTTCAATCAAGGATCAAACCATTTTGAAATATCTTATCTCTAGAATAAGGGATTAAATTGAAATTAAATTTGTTAATCAATTAATAAAATTCCCTTTATTATTGGGAAAAAAAATTCCATCCCTCTACTATTATCGTTGAAGCCATCACCAACAATCGGAGCACCATCGACAACTACCAGCAACCACTTAAATCCTTTAAAGTAGAGTTTGAACCCATGACACTTTAGTTAGCCAAAAAAAAAAATTAATTTTCAAGTCATGTAACTATTGAAACTTGTGTTTTCTAGAAATTTTACTTGTCAGCTAATATGCGAAACTTGTGAAGAATCGGAGTCAGCTTGAAAGATCAAATTTTGTGCGTAGGTTTAGTTTTCTAGAAGTTGCGGTAAGTTCAATAACCAGAAACATAATGTTGGGTGCCAACGCTACTTCAAAAACTTTGAAGCGTTGAGGAAAGGAAGAAGAAGGCCTTGACTGATGGTGGAAGGGTGATGTGGCCTCAACAAAAACTAAGTGGGAATGAAAAATATTTCCAAATAAAAAAAAAAAAACTTGTTTACGTTTTTGCGAGTCCCACTCAACCTAATGTATGTACTTGACACGTATGCATCATTCTAATTGTGAAAGAAGGATAACTACATTGCTCTCATAAAAAATAAAAATACATAGTGTTTTTGGTGAAAAGGTTCCAAGTCTGTCCTTTAATCCAAAGTTAATTTATAAATAGCAATAGGCATGTTTTGCTTTCGAGCAAGGACTCTATGTACTTACTCTTCTATTTTCAATATGCTTTGCCAAACAAATATACTTAATATACTTTTATTTAATTAAGTCAAAATAATTGGATTTTAATATATTCATAATATTAACAAAAGTTTGTTATGGAATAAAGGGAGAATGACAATTAGGTACCAAAAGATAGAATTAATAACAGTTAAGTCTTTGACAAAATTTTCTACAAAAAATTGAATTATAAATATCAATTAAACAATTATAAATAAATTTTTTTGTTATAATTAAAATTTTTTATTTGGAAGTGAAATTGGGAGATCAAATCATACCTCAAGTGGAAAAGTTTAGATATTTGGGAGCCATTATTCAAAATGATGGCGAAATCAATGGAGATATTTCACATAGAATTCAAGCTGGGTGGTTTAATTGGATAAAAGCTAAAGGAGTTATTTGTGACCGTAAGGTGCCTAATAAACTTAAAGGAAAGTTTTATCGTACTGCTATCAGACCGGCAATGTTATATAGTAGTGAATGCTGGGCTCTAACGGGACAGCAAGAGCATAAAGTTGGAGTAGCAGAGATGAGAATGTTACGATGGATGTGCGGACATACACGTAAAGATAAAATTCAAAATGAGCACATACATGAAAAAGTGAGGGTGGCACCTATTGAGGAAAAAATGGTAGAAAATCGGTTGAGATGGTTTGGGCATGTACAAAGAAGACCAAGGGAGGCACCAGTGAGAAGAGTGGAACATATAACTTTGAGTCCGATTAAGAGAGGTAGAGGAAGGCCTAAGAGAACACTCTTGGAAGTTGTTGAACGTGATCTCTTAATTAATAATATTTCTAAAAGCTTAATAAATGATAGAGCACAATGGCGTCTTGCAATCCATGTAGCCGACCCCACCTAGTGGGATAAAGGCTTGTTGTTGTTGTTGTTGTTGTTGTAAAATTTTTTATTTGATACTTAACTACTTATTTGTAATTGAAACTCATGTATTTGTAATCATCTTATTTTTAACTTATTTTTTAAAAAAATTTGTTAGGAATATAAGTGTTATTAATTCTATATTTTGAGATATAATTATCATTCTTCTAAAAATAAATAATCAGTAAAAGACTCACATGTCTGACTAAGTATATAAGGTTTTTTTTTTTTTCCATTTGATCTCAATGCACAGCATGAGATTCAATTAGAGGCTAGTTTGCTTATAATTTAAGAGCATTTAATTTGTGAGATGTTACAATTGTAACTATTGCAAAGTACACAATTATATTTAGGGCCTCCCTCTCCCCTCCCTTCCCTCAACGCACAGCATGAGATTTAGTTAGAGGCTAGTTTGCTTATAATTTAAGAGCATTCAATTTGTGAGGTGTTACAATTGTAACTATTGCAAAATACACAATTATATTTAAGGCTTGTTTGGTTAGAGGGAAATCCCCTCCCCTCCTTTTTCCTCCTCTCCTTTCAAATCAAACACAACTTAAAATGTCATTAATGCTTGAGGTTGAAAAATATAGAAAATAATTTTGAAAAAATTTCTTTTCATTATGCCTAACAATTCTCGAATATATGATAGAATCACATAATCAATCATGTAAAAAATGTCCATAAAAATATTTACAAAAATGCCTTTTTTGCCAAGATGAAAATTTTAATAATTCAAATTTAATATTTTATAAAACTCTTATTATACTTTTTGTAAAAAAAATTTTAAATTTTTAAAATTTGACCAGAAAATTTTACAAGTGTAAAATATTATTAAAGTAATTTATAAATTAATATTTTTCCCTTTTTACGATAATTTTAAACTATTCAAGCTAAGTAAAATTCTAACTTTTAAAATTTTTATGTATTTTTAAAGTATATATTATTATTATTATTATTATGTACTAAATATGTTGAAATTTTAATCTAATGGTGGATGAGTAAAGAGGAAAGGAAGAAGAGAGTAAGGGAAAAAAGAGAAAATTATATTCCATCTTTATTTTGTGGGACAAAATGATATAAAATATAAACATTGCTATATAAAATACTTTCTATACTTATTAAAATTAGAGTTGAAAAAACAGGCTAAGCCTATAGGGCTAATTCATTTAAGCTTGAAAATTGCTAAAACCTAGCTCAAGATTTAGATATTCAAAACATAAAATAGGCTTATAATGGCAAGTACTAATAAACCGATGGCTTAAACAAGTCAGCCCATTTAGGTCATTTTATTTATTTATTTTTAAATATTAATTATTATGCTAATAATATTGATATTTTTGGCGTTATTGATAATATATTAAACACTTAGTTGTTATTGTATTTTCTTAGAATTGAACTTTGCATAATAGTTTGGTTTGTTTAGTTATAGATAATAATTTCTTTATCTAGCCTTTAAAAAATTGTTTGATTTAATTTAACCTAAAGAATGGTTTGATTTATGTTATGTATGTGTGTTAATATTTTGAAATTATATTTTTGACAAAAGAATATTTTTACACTGATACAATTTGAGATTGTATGATTTGAATTAAAAATTTATAAATTTTAATATTTTATTACTTGAAATAGGAGTTCTTTTGTATGATCATGATGCTAATGTTGCTACTAATGTTTAATTATTATTGTCTTATTGAAATTTAGAGAAGAATCCTTTGATTTAATTAACTGTTAACATTGGCTAATACTTAAGTTTGTTAATATTTATGACATGAATTCAAAATTTTTATAATATTTGTTTTTTATTTTATGTATTTACTTAAAAGAGCAAAAACATCAACAACAAAAAGACATAAGAGCTTGAAGTCAGCAGGACCTATCTTGAACCCGTGAGGTCGAGAGTTGGGTTTTGTAGATGAGACTTTTTTTAGATAAGAGAGTTTTTTAGGCCTAACTCTTTTAATCCTGAACTCATTAAGAGTTAGGTTGGATTGTTTTTTTACCTTTAGCTTATGCTTATAGTACTGGTATAAAATCAATTTTGTAGTATTGAAAATAAATAATATAATAACAAATAAGTGGTCCCCCATGTGTCTAATTGCCGAATCAATGCTCATCCTCCTGGCGGACAAAATGAAATAAAAGTAAGACCATAATTTGGCTCAAACATGGCACATCCGTTCTGTCTCTCAATATCCATTCCCACACGTGACATGTGGATGAATCACTATGTTTTTTTACCTTTTTTTTTTTTTGGCCAAAGGATGGATCATTATCTTCCAATCAACATGACGTACATAGTAAAAAAGATTTATTAAAAAATAAAATAAAAAAGATAATGTTGCCCAAGAAAGCAGTATCAAAGTTTTTTGGGAGCCAAGCCCAAAACTTTCAAACAGATGTTGGGCCAATATCACAGACATTTTGGAGAAAAAAATTAATTAATTAATTAATTAATCCCTTAAATTATAAATTGTGTTGTATTTGAGAGTCTAAAATTTTTTATGTAATATTTTCTTTCAACGGTAGAAAATGATATAATCTAACTTTTTTTATTAACAAAAATTAATTTTAACCGTTAGTTAATCAAAAAAATAACAAAAAATAAAATCAAGAATTCTAGAAAAAAACAAAAAGCTACTGATAAAGACTCAAAAAATTACAGATAATAACTAAAAAATTACACTGTAAGAATTTGATTAAAACAAAATAAATTATAAGAACGTAATTTAAAATTAAGAGAAATCATAAGAACGTTCACACACACACACACAATATATTTTCCCAGAGAAAATTGAAGGAGGTCAGCGTGGGGGTTTACGCACCATACAAGTAGCTAGCAGCATATGTTTTGAGACATGCTTATTCCCCCCCCCCCCCTAAATGAAAGTGAGTATTCTTCACTCCATCAATTACACGAACGTATGTGAATATAGAAAATACAATATAATTTCAACGAGGCAATAGCTCACTAATAGACCTTTTATTTGAGGCTATCTTGGAGCTCTGACAAGTTTGATCCAAACCAGATAATTCTGTTGACGTCATTGGGTTTGAATTAATTAAGAATGGCGGTTTCTCTTGGAGAAGGTAATTCAATGGAAAGATTGCGTAGATATGAAGCAACTTGAGTTATTGTTGGCCTATCTTCTGGATTGTTCTGAACAAATAATAACCCAATATGCACACATTTCTTTGCTTCAATTTTAGAACCCTACCACCATTTCTTCCTTCACAGCACAGTGGGATCTGATCGTGAACATTCTGCAAGCAAGCATTACAGTCAACCTTGGGCAGATCAGGACTACACTGACCAAAAGCATATACATCCCGAGATTCGCTTGTTGTATCATTGGCAGCTGCGAACCTACGATGAGACTCCCCTTTCAGTGCTTGGCTCTTTACTTTATCCAACAACACCGGAACATAGTGATCCGTGAGTGTCGTTGAATTTTGGAAGTTCCATACTGAGTATGTTACGTCAGAGGCGTTGCATATCCCAAATATTGAACGATCTGAGTATCAAAACGTGCAACCATCGTATAATATAACTGCCTCCTTCAGATTGGAACATAGTTGTGGGAGGACGATGGTGGCGTTTTGGAGGCAACTACGACATGAATCTGGCATCATGTCGCCTCTGCAGAATCCAAGTGCGTAAACCATGTCAGGGTTTTGGCCATAAGAGGAATTGATGAAGCCATATTCAGTGTTTGTGTTGTCGGAACTGAAATCAAAAGGAGGGTTATCGAGGTATTTGTGGTAGGAACCTATGTATATGTAGTTGTAACAAAAGTGAGGAGGAAAAACATACCTTGAGTTGTTAATTCACACGTACGTCGACTTCGTTTGGGTACACAGCAAATGCACTCTCGGAAAGAAAAGCCTTGTAAGGAGGAAAAAAAAAGAGAGACGGATGAAAAAACGAGAGCGTGCTATTTCTTTTTTCATGTAGAGAACCAAAATCTGAATCGAATGAAACCGCACCCATAACCACCTCTTATGGGAACGTGTGGCAGTTTCTCTAACCGCCCATATTTCAAATTCAAAGGTTAGAGAATATTACTTTTTAAGGCCCTGAGTAAATCACATTTTGAACCCAAACACTTTTCATAACTCTCATAAGAGCCCTATTCCCAATTTGGGCTTTATAAGGGCCTAATCCACCAAGGGTGGATAACCCAACATCTCCCACTCATACTTGGTGGAGAAGATAATGTCAATTCTATCTCTTTCTCTTTCCTCTCTTCATACTAGGTGCTTTGCCGTGACTGCATAGCCTTGATGTCTTCATTTCAGTTATTTATACTAGGAAATCCTATTAAGGACCAGCACAAATAACTTTAAAGTTGAATTTATTCTTGATTAAATTCGTGCCTTAATGTCCTATATTTACCAATATACACTTTTTCTCTTTATGAATAATCTGATCCCTCTTAAGTCAGTCCAAGACTTAGATAGTTTCTCTTATATGCGTAGTATCCATACTTATGAATTCACAAATTATTTCATAAGGGACATGTCTTGAATACGAGCATAGATGTGTATCTTTAAGATAATCTTCCTTTTGCCCATATACCACTTTGATAGGAAACAATCGTTTTCCTAACATGAAACCTTTAGATCGCATCAATCATGACCATAGGGTGCATGTTAAAGTAGTAGATACTGTAACATATCTCCATGATAATGTCAAAGTCAAAGGACATCAATGAAAGGATTTTTTTTTCTTTCTAGGACTCACACAATAATGAAGCAGGAATTTATTCACTTGCTTCCCATTGCAATTCTTAAGCACATGTGCTATGAAACACATGTTATGGTGTTACTCTTGCTTATAAGAGTATACATTATTTTCATTTATTATTAGCACCATACAAACATAAGTTTAGATATTCATTGTATCTAAACTCAAATTCTTCTTTTCTATTGATCTCACATGACGTCAATTTAGAAGAATTTGTCGTTTGGCTACAGGTATCATGGATATGGGGATTCATCATTCGATCCAAGTATGCTCACGGATCTCATCTTAACTTGCTCTTTGATCGAGGCGACATATGATTTGTGTTTCCTTTCTACCATATCAACATTTTTTTGTTGCCTTGCTGGTGAACACTAATGTCTCATCTTTGATTTCAATACCAAAGGTAGTTGCTCGTGTGAGAGAGTCAACCTTATCAATTTGTACAACATACTAGACATTGTATGTTCTCAATTGTACACATATGGAAGTAATGAAAAATCTCATTAATATAACCAATATATTACATCAAGTCAATCTAGCCATGCTAAGAGCCCTTACATGTTTCTCAAATATCTCCTTGGCTATGGGTTTTATTAGGAGATCTGCTATCATACATTTCGTGGAAATGTATTGAACAGTGATAACCTTTTGCACTATATAATCCCTTACAAAATTATACTTAATGTCTATGTGTTTGGTTTTGCTATGATATTTAGGATCTTTGGTATAGGCTATGGCTGCAGTATTGTCACAATGAATTAACACTGGATTTGTACTTTCAGTTCCAAACCTAAGATGTTCTATAAATCTCTTAAGCCATATAGCCTCTTGCACTGCTGCAATACATACTACAAATTCAACTTCCATAGAGTGTAGGGCAATGCATGTCTGCTTCTTGCTGCTCCAACAAATGGCCCCATTATTTAGCAAGAAAGTGTAGCCTAAAGTTGATCTTCATTCATCTTTATCTCCACCTAAATCCACATTGGAGTATCCTGTCAGGCGTAGATCACTCCCTTGATAGCACAGTGCATAGTCAACAATACCCTTTAAGTATCTTAAGATCCTCTTTATAGCTTTCCAATGTCCTTCTTCGGGGTTGGATTGGTAGCAACTCACAAGTCCTACGGCATAACAGATATCTAATATTGTACACATCATTGTATACATCAAACTTCCGACTGCACTGGCATATGGAACTCTTTCCATTTTTCTTTTGGCTATCTCAAATTTAGGACCCATATCAGGACTAAGCTTCACACTTGAAGCTACTGGAGTATCCATGGGTTTTCAATCTTTCATATTAAAACACTCAAGATTTTTTCTTATATAATTCTCTTGTGATAGATAAAGAAGCTTCTTAGAGCAATTTCTTTAGATTTTAACTCCAAGAATATATTATGCTTTACCCATGTCTTTCATTTCAAAATTCGATGAAAGCCATTTTTTAATAGCGATTATCGAATTCAGACTATTTTCGGCTAGTAAAATATCATCTATATAAAGAGATAATATTACAAAGTTCCCATTGAACCTCTTAATGTAAACACAGTGGTCTTCCTCAATCATTTGAAAGTTATATGAGGTTATTGCTCTGTGAAACCTCAAATACTACTATATGGATGATTGTTTTAGTCCATAAATTGATCTATTTAATTTACATACTTTATTTTCTTTTCCTTTTTCAATAAAACCTAATGGTTATTTCATATAAATTTCTTCATCCAGATCACCGTTAAGAAAAGCAGTCTTTACATCCATCTGGTGCAACTCTAAGTCCAGACTATTTACTATTGCCAAAATTAGTCTAATAGAATTGAAGCGTATAACAGGAGAAAATGTATCCTCATAATCTATTCTCTCTTATTGTGTATACCCTTTTGCTACTAAGCGAGCCTTATATTTATTAATTGATCCATTCACTTTTCTTTTGATTTTGAAAACCCACTTGTTCCCAATAGCCTTTCGGTCTCGTGGTAAAGCAACTAATTTTCATACTTTGTTAATCCTCATGGAATCCATTTCTTCATCCATTGCTTTCTTCCACTTATCCTTAGTAGGTCCTGATAAAGCTTCATTTATAGAACGTGGCTCATCATCATCTAGAGGAGTTACCATCAATGCTTCACCCTCAATTTAGAAGCATCTTTTTGGCACACTTTCTCTATTACTTTTTTGAAGTGGGTCTCTTGTGAATTTTGATTCTTTTTAGGTCTTCTGAAAGACCTTTTAGAGCTTCCACTTAAATCAGCATTTTGTGATGATTCAAGCCTTTCTATGAGTTCTATATTATGTTGCTCTTGTGTCTCATAAAGAGATATAGTTCGATCAATTTCTCCCCTACTAGGAAACTCATTTTCTAAAAATTTGATATTTCTAGATTCAAATTTAGTTACAGTTCCATTATCATTTTTACCAATGAAAACATAACCCTTTGATTGCTCTGAGTATCTTATAAAGATACATTTCTTTCCTCTTGGACCTAATTTTTCATATTTATAGGAATCATCATGGGCATATGCAACTGACCCCCATGGTCTTAAGATATTTAAATCCAATTTACGTTTTGTCCATAACTCATAGGGTGTGGAAGTAACTGATTTTGAGGGCACACGATTAAGTATGAAGGCTGCAGTCAGTAAAGCATCCCCCCAATACGAGATTGGAAGATTTGCTTGTGCCATCATTAACCTAACCATGTCTAGAAAAGTCCTATTTCTTCTTTCAGCAACTCTATTTTGTTACGAAGTGCCAAGAATAGTTAGTTGTCTAATTATTCCTTTTTCTTCACAGAGTTCTTTAAATTGATCAGACAAGTATTCACATCCTCGGTTAGTTCGTAATGCTTTAATTTTATTGTTCATGTGATTTTCAACCTCATTAATGTATCATCTAAAGCACTCAAGAGCTTCAAACTTTTGTGATATCAAATAGACATGACCAAAACATGAAAAATCATTGATAAAGGTAATAAAATACCAAGCTCCATGTTTTTCCCTTATACTCATAAGACCACATATATCAGAATGGATTAATTGTAATGGATTTTCAGCCCTAACACCTTTACTAAAAGGTTTTCTCGTTGCTTGACTAGCTAGACAATTTTCACATAAGGACATTTCCATATTTGTAATTGGACCTAGAATTCCTTCTTTAGCTAGCTTAATCATTCTATTTTGATTAATATGCCCCAGTCTAGCATGCCAAATATTCATATCTACATTATTAGAAGAGGTGGTAAAGCAATCATGAAAATGAACTTGGTCAACAATATCCATTATAAAGAACCTTTTTGAAAGAAAAGCACAACCATAAAAAGTTGAATTGTACATAATGTCAACAATCTTGTCATGAAAATTAATTACAAACCCAAATTCTAAAAGGCAAGCAATTGAAATTAAGTTCCGTCGGATGTCCGGTGTATGTAAAACATCGTGGAGAGTTAAGGTTTTTCCACCTTGCAAGATCAACTTACAAGTTCCTATGCCTTTTACCTCGATCCTTGCATTGTTGCCAACGTAAAGCCACTTGGTCTGATTCGACAACCGACGGTACTCTACGAAGGATCCACAATCCTTGGTTACGTGGTCTGTGGAACCCGAGTCTACAATCTAAAAAGAGGAAATAGTTTTCGTTAGAAAAACATTACTGGAAACATAAGAAAAATGTGAATTCACATAATTCACAAGTACCTGATCACGTCCACTTTGCTCAGGATAGTCCTTTGCAAAATAGCCCATCTTTTGACAAGTGAAACATTTGACCTTTTAAGGTTAATTCTCTTTTTGCTGCTCTTCTTGCCCTTTTTCTTGAAAGGTTTTTTGTCCTTCTTTACTCTAGGGCCACTCTTATTACCCTTCTTATGTTGTTTCTTGCCTCTCTTAGGCTTAGAATTTGAAGGACCACCTCAAGGTAAGTCTGTCCAGATGACTTGTAAGCCTCCAGACGTTCAGCCTCTAGCTCTAAGTGTTTAGCCACATCATTAAAGTTAATGATATTTTCATTATGAGTTAAGTTAACTTTCATATGCTCCCAGCTGTGTAGGAGCGATCTAATTATAGCCTGTACTTGCTGTTCGTCAGAAAGATTTTGCCCGACTTCTTTAAGTTCACAAATCATGTTGGCCATCTCTCTAAGGTGCTGCGGCATGGGAGTATTCAACTTTAATTTATAAGTGTCGAATTTAATTGTAAGCCTTCTCAGTTTGGTGGTTGAGGTACCACCAAATTTTTCTTTTAAGGCAG